TATATATATATATATGTGACATATTCTGGTGACATCACTTCCTCACAACTACAGAGATGGAGCAAGTTTAGTTCATGTGTAACATTATGGGCGGAGATATGCAAATCATTTCATTGTAGCTCTGTGGCTAGCTGTCCATCCAGAGCCATTGGTTTATTGACCCAGATACATCCTAAATATAAAGCCATTTATCCAACTGTCCATCCAGATCCGCCATTTATAGACCGCATACATCCTAAATATAGAGCCATTTATCCAACTGTCCATCCAGAGCCGGCATTTTATGGACCAGATACATCCTAAATATAGAGCCATTTATCCAACTGTCCATCCAGAGACGCCATTTATAGACCGGATCCATCCTAAATATAGAGCCATTTATCCAACTGTCCATCCAGAGCTGCCATTTATAGACCGGATACATCCTAAATATAGAGCCATTCATCCAACTGTCCATCCAGAGCAGCCATTTTATGGACCACATACATCCTAAATATAGAGTCATTTATACAACTGTCCACCCAGAGCCCCCATTTATAGACCGGATACATCCTAAATATAGAGCCATTTATACAACCGTCCATCCACAGCCGCTGGTTTATACACCAGATACAATAATTGATAATATATAGAGCAACATCACACCACATCCAAAGAATGCTTTTGCAATAAAGTTGTACTCAACATATATAGAAGCTCTATAGTACAATAGTTCGGGGCTCGCTGGATTTCTGACAGAATAACAGGTATTTTTCTGTTCTTTGTGTTTTTAAAAAGACAAATTATGTAGGAAATGAGCATGCATGGTAGAGATGTACTCCCTCTGTGTTTGCCACCAGACATACACTTTCAATTGAATTTGTTAGGATACTAATATACTGTAAGGTCCCATTGCCGTCTGGCCAATGAATGTACATACTCCGGGGCAGTTATCCTGTCCACAGCACTGAGCTAGAAGAAGCATGCAGCCAATGAAAACACAACCCCGAACCTACATGTCCCAGGCCAGTGGACTTGCTAAACAAAAAAGCATTATGACATGAACAAAGCTGAGCTATGTACCATGCTGTCCTCAGTCTTGATGGTCCTGGTCTGGAAGGAGACCTCCCGGCCCCTGGGGGCATTGTTTGTCTCCGTGTGCTCCGTGGGCAGCCTGTTACTGCCCTCGCTGTCCCCGTTCTCCCGTGGTTTTGGGAGGTAGTCGTTGCGCTGTTTTTTTGTAACGTGGGCCTCGGGCCCATGGACGGTCTTCACATGCTTCCTCAGGGAGCTGGGGTCTGTGTACCGCTTTGTGCATCCGGGAATCTTACAAATATATGGTTTCTAGGGGGAAATAAAAGCAGATTTGTCAATGAAAAAATGTCTTTAGCTGATTGAAAATAACAATGTTTAGGAACAAATTGGTGATTCATTTTTAAATATGGTCAAATTATTTGCCATGGTGATCATTGTCTATGGGAAAATACAAATGTATAAGTTGTCACCAGAACAGGGACAAAGAGGAAATCTTCCAAAGGGGACAAAGAGGAAATCTTCCAAAGGGGACAAAGAGGAAATCTTCCAAAGGGGACAAAGAGGAAATCTTCCAAAGGGGAATACTTTTTCCGAGCAAAGGTATAAAAGAAGATTTCACCAAACATTCACTGCAGGTGATTTTGTCTTTGTTTTGGTAAATGAGAGCGATTGATTCAATTCCAGTGAATGTTTGGTGGAAGTCACATTCACTACTTTAAAGGAGAACTATGGGGTTAGGGCTTTTTCCCATTGTTCTCCTTAGGGTAATGGGAGGACACAAACTACCGTCCTCCCGTCACCCTAAGCTCAGTATATCGCGAGCTACAGCTCCCGGTATACTGAGACGCCGCAGCTGAAACGTATCCCGACAATTATGTCTGGATCCGCCCAGCTGCGTGAGTGACAGCTGGCTCTGCCTATCTAGAGGCAGAGCCAGCTGTACCCGCCCCCTCCCCCGTCCGTTCTGCCAGTCAGCGCTGGAGGATCGGAGCGGGGAGGGGGGAATCCAGCCCCTCCCCTGTCACGGCTCTGGGCCGTGACAAGATCGAGGAGTGAGGGAACGCCGGTATGTGTTCGCTCACTTCGCGATCTACTGAGCCGACCTGTGACAGTTTCATTGTCACAGGTCGGCTAGAACTATGAGGTGAGTGAAAAGCTGCCCCCCTCCCCCTCCCCCTCATAGTTCTCCTTTAAATAGACTCAACACCAAAATCCACCATGCCATGCTCTCGGCATTAAAAGCTTAATGTACCGAGTAGCAAGCCGGTGCAGGACAGGAAGCCTGCTTTGTTTCGAAATGTGTTTTATTAAATGAACCTCAAAATTGATACTAATCTAAAATGTTTCCACTATTTATTTTTTAGAATTTAATATCTATCTCTTTTTCCTGATCCCGGGGGGAGAGGTACTGAGCAACCCGAGCCATTTTGCTGTCTTGATGGACTCCGCGTGTCGCCGTCTGCATTGCTCTCCATCACGGCCCTATTAACTAACACAACCCGAGACCAAATTTGTCCAGCGAAACAATAAAACGACATGGGGCTTTCTCTCTCCGACACCTGGAGGACGCCGGGAAGCCCGCAGGGCCCACGTGGAGAACATAAAAGAAGATTTAAGCTTCTCCACTGCAGGTGACTTTCATTTCCTCCCCTCAGCCCGGCTGGACCGTTTGACTTTTATGGCCCGCACCTATTTGGCAGCTGACAAAAATCCCAGAACTTCCCCCGGAACAAGAGGGGAGAGTCGAACATCTGCTGTTGCTTTCAGGGACACAAAAAAACCTCACAGACAGGCGTGGAGCTGGTGTGGTTTGGCACTGCCGCAAGATAAATTGTACGACAACTAACTTTATTCTGCAAGCTTTTCTGTCTGATCCGCTGAGGGGTGCAAAACCTCTCCGTCAGCAGAACCAGCTAACTTAAAATCTCTGCTCTAATTCTGACTCCGAGCTGCAGCAGGTATTAATATTATGTCTCACTCAAAGAATTCTTGATCTACAGCCACCAATCCAAATCAAACTTTCTTCCTCCAACTGTTCGTCTTCTTTCTGTGGTGCCCTCTCTCCAGTGCCCATGTCCTCAATACAGTGGTATGGGAGTTACAATACATGGCCAAAAGATGGTGGACACCAGACCCTCACACCTATGTAAGCTTGTTGGACATCTCATTCTAAAACCATGGCCATTAATATGGAGGTGCCCCTCTCCCCACATGGTCATTAATATAGAGTTGGCCTCCCTTTGTGGCTATAACAGCCTTCATTCTTCTGGGAAGAATCCGCAATATTTTGGAGGGTGCATGTGGGAATGTGTGCCCCATTATGAGGTTATGTATTGATGCTGGAGGAAAAGACCTGGCTCGCATTCCAGTTTATCTCAAAGGTGTTCAGTAGTGCTGAGGTCAGGGCTCTGTGAAGGCCACTTCCTCCACACCAAACTGGTCAAACCATGTCTATGTTGAGAAATAGGAGGGGTAGTTGTCACCAAGACCGAACAGCAATTAAAACACTGGGAATAACTCATCCTCACTCTTTTTTTCTTTTCAATGACCCCCATCTGAGAGATCGTACCATAATTTTCCATCCTATAAATGTTAGCTGTGAACTTAAAGGAGAACTATGGGGTCAGGGCTTTTCCCCATAGTTCTCCTAAGGGTAACGGGAGGACACAAACTAGCGTCCTCCCGTCACCCTAAGCTCAGTATATATACTGAGTCGCCGCAGCCAGAACGGATCCCCGACAATTATGTCTGGATCCACCCAGCTGCGTGAGTGACAGCTGGCTCTGCCTATCTAGAGGCAGAGCCAGCTGTACCCGCCCCCTCCCCCGTCCGTTCTGCCAGTCAGCGCTGGGGGATCGGACAGGGAAGGGGGGAATACAGTCCCCCCCTGTCACGGCTCTCTGCCGGCACAGGATCGAGAAGTGAGCGAGAGCCGGTATGTGTTCGCTCACTTCCCGATCTACTGAGCCGATCTGTGACAGTCTCATTGTCACAGGTCAGCTCAGATTATGAGGCTGAGTGAAAATCACTCACCTCATAATTCTCTTTTAACCTACATAAGCTACCATAAAGCATATGGTCCTTTGTCCTGCTTGAACTGATATTTGGTAAAACTAATTGTAACCAGTTCTTAGTGGGACACAAGGAGGCCCCTCAATAAGAAAGTTGTAGTTGTAACTAGTTCTTAGCGGGACACAAGGAGGCCCTTCCATAAGAAAGTTGTAGTTGTAACTAGTTCTTAGGGGGACACAAGGAGGCCCCTCAATAAGAAAGTTGTAGTTGTAATTAGTTCTTAGCGGGACACAAGGAGGCCCCTCAATAAGAAAGTTGTAACTAGTTCTTAGCGGGACACAAGGAGGCCCCTCAATAAGAAAGTTGTAACTAGTTCTTAGGGGGACACAAGGAGGCCCCTCAAGAAAGCTGTATGTATGGATGGAAGACAAAGACCAGTTGACTTGATCCAGGGCTCTATCATACGTGCCTGAAACCAGAAGATTGTTGCTTTCCAGGTAGTTCTAATCAGAAGTTGAGGAATTCCCTGGACAGGAATGATGATGTATTTATCTAGTTTATCATCTGTGATATATCTTTATCTCAAGCGAAGTGAATTTCTTTTATTATTATACTTCTTGTCACTGAATTATTGTACCGAACCCAGCTATCTGAAAGGTTAAGCAGAATATCAAACCCTTTATCACAACTACTCTCTCCCTAACATAATAGAAAGTTTTGGCTGGAATTGGGCTTGAGAAGGAATATTAGTGACAGTGCGCTGAGTTCTTCCCCAAGACAGAGGAACGATGCAATTTTTCCCCATAGTGCCTCACCTCATTGGAGTGCGTCCTGTTCTGGTGCTTCGCGCGGTCGGAGGCGTTGGAGAAGGCCTTGTTGCAGCCCTCGTGTTCACACACGTAAGGTTTCTCGCCTGTGTGGGAGCGCAAATGTGTTTTGAGGTTCTCCAGCCTGGAATAAGCCTTGAAGCAGCCTTCAAACTGTGAAAAGAAGGGCAGAGCAATCAGCAATCATTCAAATCCTCAATGATTGTTTAATCACATAATCTCTATTTAAAAGATGACCATAAAAAAATCCAGAGGGCCTCATGACTTCTCATATATCAAAGTATTTTTGGTCTCCTCTGTGTCCCCTGCCATTTCCAACCCCGCTGTGTGACTTTACGGATACCTAGGATGGATTTTTAGGCTCCTTTGGTGTGTACGACAGTTTACTTAAAAAGAACCCAACCTGAAAAAAATAGGGGGTTGACCTCCTTCAGAAAATGAATAGTTGCCTGGCTGTCTGTTGCTTCAGTATTTCCTGAGACAACAATCCAGAAATAGCATGCAAAGAAAGAAAATCAGAACTAGTTATGGGTCTGTGACTCAAAGTACTGATGTTATTGGATCAGAATGACATGTAGGTATCTAGTATATGGCCTCCAATAGGCCTCTGATCCTCAGGCAGTACTTCTATTCTGGGCCCAGGCCCCATCGGGTCAGTAGGGGGGCCGGGCTGCCTAGATTCATTCCAACAGGAGCTACATGCCCTTGTAGGCAGTGAAGTGGCGGCTGATTGGTGGATGGATGAAGATGTGCTGTGATTGGTTGGGACAGGAGTAGCGGCTTGTTTGGTGCCCAGACAGAGCAGGCTGCTGGAGGAGCAAGAACTATTTTCCATAGCAGGGGAGGGAGAGGGGTGTTGGGTGTCAGGTAGGCTGTACGGGGCCCCATGGTTTCTAAAGATCTATATGGAGGAATCAGGAACTCCTTCTTCCTGCTGGGGATCCCTCTAGTGATAATAAAGATCTATATAGAGGGATCAGGACCTCCTTCCTCCTGCTGGAGATCCCTCTAGTGATAATAAAGATCTATATAGAGGAATCAGGAGGACCTGCTTCCTCCTGCTGGGGACCCCTCTAGTGATAATAAAGATCTATATAGAGGGATCAGGACCTCCTTCCTCCTGCTGGGGATCCCTCTAGTGATAATAAAGATCTATATAGAGGAATCAGGACCTCCTTCCTCCTGCTGGAAAGAGTAGTTGATGTTGGAACAGACTTCCAGCAGAGGTAATGAGTCAGCCAACAATAAGTGACGTATAACATGCTTGTGACAAACACAGATCTAGATAAAAAGGTTAAGAAAACCCCCCAAAACTACAAACATCAAAAAAGGGGAGACTTGATGGGCCATACACTTATTCTGCCATCCCGGTGCAGCAAGGTTTTCCCATCACCGGTTAGGTTAGTAAACTAGCAGTGTCTGCAATTCCCCAGCAGGTCAGCGTTATGATGACAGCAGAAGCATCCAGTTTGGGGGGCCGACAAATTCCCAAAGCTAATATAAATATATTCCAACTTCTGGATCTCAGAAAATTTGGTTAGATTTCCCCCCGGCAAGGCTTTGCCCATCTCCAGCTTCTGCAGCCGCCAACAGCTGCTCCGCGAGCAGGAACGTGAGGCCCAACGAGCTGATGGTATCTCCCTAAAGGGCCAACGGAGGAACAGAGAGCGGAGCGGTTAGCGGCGCCCTGGGGGAGGGGGTGTCAGCGGCTATTGATGGGACCGATTCGCGCTCTTGCTGATGCCAGCAGATCGGCGCTGTGAGCGGCTTACTGTGCATTTATGCGGCTTTTCCCCAGTGTGGCGCCTCATGTGAACCACCAGCATGTACTGCGCTTTAAACGGTTTCTGTTCCCGGGTGCAGTCCTGCCAGCGACACACAAACTCCTTCTTCTCCCCGTGGATGTGCTCATTATTGATGTGCTGCGGAGAGAGAGGACAGAGGAAATCCATCAGCCCAACCAATTCATATATAATAGAGATAATGTAATATATACATTATATACAGTCGTGGCCAAAAATATTGGCACCCCTGCATGTCTCTCAGATAACGCAGAGCTTCGCGCAGGAAATTGTTGCAATGACGAATGTATCGGCGTCCTCGTGTTTATTTCTTTTGTTTGTATGCGGTATGCGGTATGCGGTACAGGGCTGTGCTACGAAATATTAATTGAGGTTGCCGATAATTTTGTCCAGTCCATTTTTGGAGTTTGGCGTGGAATGTGTCAGGGTCGGCTTTTTTTTTTTTTTTGTCTCCACTTTTTTGTGTCACCGATACAAACAAAAGAAATAAACACGAGAACGCCCGAAACATTCGTCATGGCAGCAAATTTCTCCGCGAAGTGCGGCGTTATCTGACAGAAAAGCACAGGGGGCAATATTTTTGGCCATGACTGTACATGATGTGAATGTACAGTATGTAAAGTGCTGCGTAAAATTGTCGGTCGCCACATAAATAAATAAATAAATAAGCGTGTGTGTATATATATATATACACTCAGGGGCAGGCTGAGGGGCGGGCTTGCGATGACCGCAATGCTGAATGGGCAGTGTGCGGCCCAAAATCTGGCCAATGAATCCTCTTTTAACAGTCGTTTAACAGAAATGCTGACTGTACGGCTTGCTACACAGGCAGCCACTAGAGGGCAGACCTACACATCGGAATATGAAGCATGACTGTTGGAATATGGAACAGCAAGGATGCGCTGGAGTAAAAGTCATCGAAATGACGTATTTTTAAGGAAGATTCACAATAGTTTCCCCTGAGAGCCGAGACAAACACCGAGGCTGAGCTCTGTCTGAAAATGCCTGTTGCCTGGCTTCGCAAATTTGAATCTCTGAAGCTCCAGATTCCCGTACTTGCCCCTGGTGTGATGAAGCCGATGAAGCCGGGGGATCAGCATGACGCATGATTTTCAGAAGGACTCCTTGCTGCAGCTGTCCCAGTGACAGTTCGTCTCGTAGATGACCTCCGCTTCCTGCTTACACTCCTCTCTGTCCAGCTCTTCTTTCAGATCCGTCAGGTGGTCCTGCCAGGAAGAAGGGAAACAGTCAGATGCAGGGGGGGGGCACATAGCGCCTCACATTGGGGGACACTGGGGGGATGTAGAGGTCAGCAATGAGATAGGAAACCTCCTTCAGTCTTCTATCTGACCTCCGTCCTTCCCTTCAGTCTTATATCTGACCTCCGTCCTTCCCTTCAGTCTTATATCTGACCTTCGTCCTCCCCTTCACTCTTCTATCTGACCTCCGTCCTCCCCTTCAGTCTTCTACCTGACCTCCGTCCTTCCCTTCAGTCTTATATCTGACCTCCGTCCTCCCCTTCACTCTTCTATCTGACCTCCGTCCTCCCCTTCAGTCTTCTATGTGACCTCCGGCCTTCCCTTCAGTCTTCTATCTGACCTCCGTCCTCCCCTTCAGTCTTGCACAGTTGTGCCGACTCCTCCCCTCTTCCTCTGATGTCACTGCACACTGGGAGCTTCTCACAATGTACATTAGAAGCTGCAGCACAGATAGAGCCCAACTCATTGCCTGGCTGATGGACTTCCAGCTTCAACTAGCTCTTTCCTCCCCAGCCTGTCTGTCCCTGGCCCCACCCCTTTCATTCATTGGATTTCAGTTCTGTCAATCATGGAGTCTCAGCATCACATGTGGGCGTTACCTAGGGGGCGGTCTGCTTGCAAATAGAGGTTTAACATCAGATTTAATATATTGCAGCTCCTGATATGTGGCGGCTGCGTTAGTTTTCAGGCTTTTTGTCCTTTTATTTTTAGCTGCTGTTCCCGCCAGTAATACACTTCCTGTCTTAGGGTGACAAAAGAAAATGAATGCAGCCACCACATCTAAGGTCAGGGGAGCGGCAATATGTTATATTTCTGTTCTTGGGATAAGATATCCTTTACCAGTCCCGGGGGGGCGGGGCTTAGGCTGGATGAGATATGACACTTACCGGGGGGCTGGGGGAGTCTCTGATGAGTCCCTCATCCTCCGTCTTCACTTTGCTGCGTTTGTGGATGACTTGATT